CTTTTGCTGAAGGAGTAAAATGTGTACTTTTGGGGAGGAGGGTTTTGGGCAGCCCTAGTACTTGTTTTGGCGATGAACACCGTGAACAAACATCTGGCAGGTCAGTAAGGCGCGGTCAAAATACGGTATCCAATATATCCCCCAATTTGCAGTTATTTTCTGCAGTATTCATAAATTGCGATTTGACTGTGATTCAACTTCCGTTACTTATTTTTACAAATTTTGATCGGATCGTGTACCTTGTATTCCTCTGATGCAGATCAGTGATCACCACTGTGTGGGAAGGAATCAGAAAGTTATTGTCATCTAATTGTGAACACTGCTTTCAAAAAAATAAGCTTCTCTTTCTGTTACTGAAAATGGTCTTCAGCTCGATAGAATAAGTTCCACCAATGAATGGATGAACAAACAGCGCTTGTCGTCGAAGCACGAGGAGGACAAATATGCGGACGGCTACAGATTTTCCTTTAACTTTCATCCAGAATGGATTATAGTATCACATTCTTATTTTCTCGCTTCGAAGCTAATTCGATTTTGTAGTCCTAAAATTTCCGAGACAAGAAAATGACACAAACTAAACTGAAAGTTCTATGCGCAGTAATAAAGCGCTGCCATTGTATAAAGCTGAACAGAGACGTATAACAACTGAACTCAAAAATTCGAATTCCCAAATTGGTACTCTGTGCAAATTAGAAACGCCAAATTCAAAATACTTTTATAAGAGGCCCCACAGGGGCAGCTTTACTAACAGGACGCTCGCCTGAAGCACAACTTTATTGTTTGTACAATTTTAAATGAACATCTGATTACCTAGCAACATTTTCCAAAAACTGATCATATCAAGTAAGAGAGAAAGAGCGAGTAATCGTTTGCTTGGTATTTTAAAGGACGACATGCGCTTGTGACTGGTGGTCGAAAACTTACTAGAGACCGGAGAATTTAGAAGAAAGTTATTTCTGATGAGCAGTGTTAGGTGATATACTCCGGAAAGAAGAGTCTGTCAAGAAGCGTGCGGTCCTGTTCTGTTTGCATTCTGTCACTGCCAGACGTCAGGTTGACATAAACGAACGATCAGGATTTCCTGAACCCTTGCTTTTAATGTTGAGGTTTAGCACTTTCTTCTTAAGCTAGAAATCATTCTGTCATCTTCATCCGTTTGAGAATCCTGATTTTCTTGGTTTCTGTATTTGATTTTCTTATCTTTAGCTGCCATCGCCTGAACTCTGTGACGAGTCTTCAATAATAGATCAATTCATAGATGTTACTTCTATGAAGCGCTCCACTGACTGGATACCGATGGACGAGATTATCTTGCAGTCGTAAGTGCTTTCCTTTAGAACGGGTATCTTGTAAGCTGGACTGCTTACTGGACAATGGTTGCATAGACCTCTGTCGAGTTGTTCACCATGAATATATTATGAACGATTGGCATTTAGGTCGAACTATTTGAACAACGACGTGCTTTGCGATGGCAGGCACATTATAGTTCATTTGTTGATGGTGCTGTTCCAACGAACTGAGCAGGCGCGGCTAAATATTGATGAGGTGAATGAATTATGTGTGCAATATTGTTTTATTTACCTATTTTAAAAAAGAGTTGTCATTGAGATCGCTCTTGAAAATTTATTTCAATTCGTAATGACGAAGTCAGTTTTGTATTTAAATAGTTAATTTAAAGTTTATTTAAATAGTTTAGTTTATTTAAATAGTTAATTGTTTAGTTGGTTTTAAGATTCGATATATGCTTCCCTTCTTTTATGGCAGTTTCTT